TCCTCGCGGCCGTTTTTGTCCAAGACAAAGAATTTATCAGAACGTTTAATTACCTTATAAGGTCCGTCGTATGGGGTTCCAGGGGTCTGCGCACAGAGTCGCGACGAACAAATACATGTGAAGAAGTTTTCAAACACGGATGAACGAAAACATCAATGGACTGTGGACGAAGGGGAGCAGGTTTAACTGAACGCATTGCGTTTGTAAGCCTGCTGACGTATGAAGCGTGATCTACCACTGGTGGGAAGCTCGAGGGAGAAACAAATTCACCAGGCAGTCGCAGTGTCGTGCCATATACTAGCTCGGCGCTAGTACAACCAGCATCGGTTTTCAAGGCGTTTCGTATCCCTAGGAGAACTAACGGAAGGGATTCAGTCCAATGGGTGGTGTTTGCAGCTGACAGACCAGCTTTCAGCTGTCTGTGTAGACGTTCTACCATACCATTAGCTTGAGGATGGTAGGCTGTTGTTCGAAATCGCATGCAACCTATGATTTTAGTCAGGGCGAAGAATAAGCCACTTTCGAATTGCCGCCCGCGATCAGTTGTTATGGAAGATGGGCATCCAAAGTTAGCGATCCATCTTTCTACGAAGACGCGTGCGACTGTTTCAGCAGATACATCCTTGATGGGTACTGCTTCCGGCCATCGTGTGAATCGATCGATGCAAGTTAAAATATAAGTATATCCATGTGATTCAGGAAGGGGTCCAACCAAATCTATATGGACGTGTTCGAAACGAGCGTCAGGGAGAAGAAAGGTGCCAAGTGGGCTTTTGGTGTGTCTTATCACCTTGCACTTTTGACAAGCTAAGCACGTGTGTGCCCATTCCCTTACTTCTTTATTAATGCCAGGCCAACAAAACCGACTAGTTACGAGCTTGACAGTAGTTCGAATACCTGGGTGAGATAAGCCATGCAACGTATTGAAGACGTTACGGCGATAACTTTTAGGCACGATGGGGCGAGGAGTACTCGTGGAAATGTCGCATAGAATAGTATCTCTTCCCATACCTAAGGGTTTCTCAGCTAATTGTAGAGTTGTTTTCGACAACTCATGTTGAAGCTCGGTATCTTCTTTTTGAAGACGAGCCAGTTTTACAAGGTCTATGCCGTCGATTTGGGTGAGGGAACAAACGCGCGACAAGGCATCTGCCACAGTGTTGTTTACTCCGGATACATGGCGAATATCTGATGTAAACTGTGAGACGTAATCCAGTTGTCGTGATTCCCTGGGTGAATACTTATCTGAAGGTGAGTTCAGAGAGTACGTCAGAGGTTTGTGATCGTAAAAATTATGAATTCACGACCCTCTACCGAATGTCTAAAATGTCGTATAGCACAGTACATAGCCAGAAGTTCTCTGCCGAATGTGCTGTACTTCGTTTCAGCTAATTGAAGGCGCCTGAGAAAAAGGCGAGTGGTTGCCACTCTTTGTCAACTAGCTGTTGTAGAACTGCGCCGATTGCAGTGTTTGATGCATCAACCGAGATACTTAACGGTGCCGTTGGATCCTGATACATCAGAAGTGTGGCATTCGCAATAGCTTTTTTAATCTGGGTAAAAGCATTTCGAGCAGACGCGTCAAGTTCTATGGACTTGTTATTCCCTCGAAGGAGGTCTGTCAATGGCTGAATCAAAGAGGCACAGTTGGGAATAAAGCGTCGATAATAACTTACTAAGCCGTTAAAAGTGCGGAGACTTTTCACCGTCTGTGGCTCTGGAAAGTTCAGTATAGCCTCGACCTTAGTAGCCAGTGGGCGAATGCCCTTGCAGTCAATAGTGTGACCCAGAAGTCGAGTGAGTCAACACCGATTTGACACTTTTGAATATTAATGGTAACACCATGTTGGCGTAACCTTCAAATGCCAAGTCCAAGTGCCTAAGGTGAGTTTCCTTGTCTGGACTGGCAATGAGGCAGTCGTCTAAGTATGCGTATACAAAGTCGAGACCGCGAAATACTTCGTCAATGAAGCGTTGGAATGTTTGGGCTGCATTCCGGAGACCGAATGGCATACGTAGAAATTCAAAAAGTCCGAAAGGCGTAATGATAGCCGTTTTCGGGATATCTTCTGTTGCCATCGGGATTTGGTTATACGCTTTAACCAAGTCGATTTTGGAGAATATAGTCGCGCCGGATAAGGTTGCCGTCAAGTCGTGTATATGAGGCAACGGGTAGCAATCAGGGGTTGTTTTGGCATTCACTCGCCGGTAATCACCGGTGGGTCGCCAATCATTGCTATCCTTTTTCGGAACCATATGAAGTGGGGATGCCCATGGGCTATTCGAAGGTCGAATGATGCCAAGGGTAAGCATATGGTCAAATTCATTCCTGGCGATTCTCAGTTTGTCAAGAGCTAATCGTCGTGCTTTAGATGTCACAGGTTGTCCTGTGGTAATGATGTGGTGCATAACATTGCTGGTTATGCACGGTAGGTCGTTCGACGGGCAATTAAGTTCCGGATATTTGTCAAAATAGGTTGAAAAGTTGGATCAAGAATTGCCTTTATCTTAACGGGTGACAAGCTAGGGCCTATGTAGGTGATGCCTTTGATAGACAGACTAGTAGTATTGTCAATCAGTCGTTTTCGGCGGACGTCTACGAGTAAATCATGATGATTAAGTAGGTCCGTGCCAATGATGGGCATTGTGACGTCAGCGAGAAGGAAAATCCACCGAATAGGTTTGCGTAAACCTACGTTCAGACAGACGTATTTCCTACCAAAGGTTGCGATTGGTTTTCCATTTGCAGCCTGTAAGTTGAAGGTAGGTTCCTTCTGTCGATCTGCTGCTGTAGCAGGAAGGACGCTGACTTCGGCGCCTGTGTCGACTAAATATCGAGTCTGGCTTATCACATCATGGATGTAAAGTAGGCGGCTAGTGCCACCGGCGACGGTTGCCGCTAACGCGTGCCGGCGGGATAGTTTCCCACAGACTTTGAGGCGTTTCCAAAGTTACAAGGCTTACGGTAACACTTCGCTTCTTGGCCATATGTGTTTTGGTACCAGCACCAGTCAGGGTTTTTCAGTGGACGTGGTTTGGACTAAGATCGACCACGTTAGTTTCGGCGTTGAGGAGATTGAGGACGACAGTCGGAGGAGTTAGGAGGCATGTTTGATCTAAACATCTGCTGGATGGAGTCGCATAACTCTATCACTGCAGTATCCCTACTTGAAGTCTGCTTAGTCATCGAGCGTATTTCGGGAACTGACCGTTTAGTTATATCCAGAATCTTATCTGCAGAAATAGCTAAGTCATTTATTATAACACTCTGAAGTGTCACAAGTACGGTCTGCATGGACTGTGGCAGCTTGAATAAGAAGAGTTCTGTAAAATGTCCTTCATCGAACTGACTTTGGCCAATGACCTATATCATTCTTATCAGCATGCTCATGGCAGACTGATCTCCTAACTCGATGTTACGAAATAATTCATCTAGACGTTGTCGGTCCGTGAGAACGTTTCTCCTGAGGAGGGATGCTTTGAGCAACTCGTACGAGTTACTTACCTCGGGACTGAACATCTGTGATGTTACGTACTTGCTGAATTCCCGCGGTAGGGCGTGAATAACTGCAAGTAACTGTGAACGTTGATCGGTTATCCCATGCTCACAAAAATCTGCTTCAGCTAGCAGAAACCACGTTTCAGCATTATCTGGCCAGTATGGTACGAGCTGAATGGTTTTAGGAGTTGAGCGGATACGAATGACCTTGGGACTAAGATCACTCATGACGAAAATTATGTCGAATAATATATGGTACAAGAACAAATACAAAATGGAACGAACTCACCGGGGTTATCTGCGGATTTATCGTGGATGAAGTTCGCGGTTGGGCTCACCAGTTTAGAGGTTGACGGAATTGTCTTACACAGCCTCTAAATTATTCTCGCGTACCAACAACAAAGCAAAAGCCAATATTTGATCGTCCAAACTAAGTGATATATTTCGGGACCAAAACAAGCCTTCAGACGAACGCTTAGCTAGCTAGTGATCGTGCACGTGACACGACGGGGTACCAAATGGCGGGGATGCTTGACCGGAAGCCTTCAGCTAAACAAGTCGACTTAAACAGTGGTGGTCAGCATCCAATGAGTGATTGCTGTGGTCAATAATTTTGGGGAATTATTTACCGCTACAAGTTCAATTACAGGCATAACTGGTCATAAATTACCTCTTATCGGTGCTACTAACATTTCTTTGAAATCAGACAGTGGTAATTTTGTAAATATTCCCTTTCTTGTTAGTGAATATGGTCCATCTTTATTGGGATTAAAAGCCCTTAGATTGTTAAATGTCGAAATCCCACTTTGTACTGAGTTGTTTGATGAATCTTTGTTCAGAGAATTACTTCTCCAATGTTCAAAGAGTGTAGGTGGTATGAAGATTCAGCCCATCCATCTTGAAATAGAGGGTGATCCTATCTTCCTGAAACGCCGATTAATTCCATGTGGATTGCGAGACGCAGTTAAGAAAGAGTTAGACAAGTTGGTTGAGCAAGGCATACTTATGTCAGTTGAGTCTTCAAATCGGGCTACTCCTATTGTTACGCCACTAAAGGCTGATGGAAAAACACCTAGAATTTGTGGTGACTACCGCTTTACACTCAATAGTCGTCTACTGCAGCAAAGTTGCACTACTCTAGAAACTGAAGACATTCTCTACAAGCTACATGGCTCAAGGTACTTTTCCATAATAGATCCAAAAGATGCCTATTTGCAAATTCCTCTTGATGAGGCGTCTAGTGCATTAACAACCATTAATACTCCATTTGGATTGTTCAAGTATAAGTTCTTGCCTTTTCGTTTAAAGGTTTCACGCGCAATATTTCAAAATGTAATAAATCAGATGATAGATGGATTAGATGGTGTTGAGTCATACCAAGACGACATTATAGTTCATGGTCCTAATATCGAATTGCATAATGAATGTCTTTTAAAACTGTTCAGGCGTTTATGTGATAATAATGTTCTTGTTAATCCATCTAAATATCATTTCACTTTGTCGTCTGCTTGGGATACACAGTAGACTCCGAAGGTTTCAGACCTGATGCTAGTCATTTGGCACCTCTAATTCAAGCACCGTCACTTAATAATATGTCACCGTTGATATCATGGATAGGTACTCTTCAGTTTTACTCCAGATTCATTCCCAACTTCACTCAACGGTTATCTCCACTTTTCGAGATTGTCTCCAGTAAACAGTTTAAGTGGGAACAACAACATGAGAATATCTTGCGAAAAACTTTGGAGTTTCTTAATAAACAAGCTTTCCTAAGACCTTTTTGTCGAAAGATAAGTCTGTTCTCACTATAGATGCTTCTCCTATGGGTATAGCTGCAGTACTTGAGCAAAATGGACTTGTTACTTGTATTTCAAGACGTCCAAGTAAGAGTGAACAAGGGTACTCACAAACCCAGAAAGAAGCTCTAGCAGTTGTGTGGGCAATAAGACGCTCGCACAAGTATCTCTTTGGTACTAAGTTTCACATAGTTACTGACCATCAGGCTTTGAAATTCATTTACAATCCAGAAAAATCTTTGAATAAATCATCTGCTGCTATGGTTCAAAAATGGAGTTTAGAACTAAGTGCGTATGATTACACTATTGAACATAGATAATAATAATAATGTATATTCTCATATAAACATATAAATTTACATGAAAATGCATGCCATTTTTACAGGCACGATCAAGTATGATATAATATCAAATCGTAGATTGTCTACAAGTTAATAATGTTTCAACAGTTAAATATTTGATATATATATAAATACACATTGTCTGAACTAGGCTGCATTGTTATTGAATTGTACAGTTCAATAAAGGATATACCTCATGCATACTTTTTATCTCGTTATTCATTATTTGAAAATGCTGCTAATGATACTGATTGCTTGTTAGTCCAGCCGTTACCGGTGGATCGAGTTCGACTTATAAATGATACTTGGAAATATTACGGATGCGTTATAAATGCAACAAAAAGAGGTTGGAATGTTCAGTGTAAGCGAAAATTTCCAGACTTTTATAAGCAAAGAGATGAGATTTCAGTCCATCCTGAAGGATTTCTATGTCTGAATGACAGAATTATTATTCCTCCAAAATTAAGATCTGCGATTTTGGGTGATCTACATTCTGCTCATCTAGGAGCTGATAAGATGAAATCATTGGCACGCCTAACATGCTGGTGGCCGGAAATTGATGCTGACATTAACAAAAGATCAAAGAGCTGTTCTAGCTGTTTACATAAAATGTCCTATGGGAAGTCATCGTGGACACCGTGGCCTGCATCTTGTGAGGTTTGGCAGCGTATTCATGCAGATTACTGTGGTCCATTCTTAAATTCATATTATGCTTTAGTTATTGTGGATTCTTATTCTAGATGACCAGAAGTCATTATTACAGATAGTCTTAATGCCAAATTCACTCACAGAGCGTTGAGAAAGATTTTTAGTCGAGAAGGAATTCCAGATGTCTTAGTTACTGTCAATGGTAATCATTTTACGGAGAACTTCAATGATTGGCTCAAACATATAGGTTGTCGCCATCTGTGCACACCACCACGTCATCCTCAGTCAAACGGGTTGGCAGAAAATTTTATACTAACATTAAAGAGTGCTATAACATCAATGAGTCCTCAAAATTTTGATGAGCTAGAGAGATGTGTGGATAACTTCTTACTTCAATATCGCCATGCGGAGCATACAAGTACTCATGAAAGTCCTGCTAAACTATTCAAATCTCGAATTCTCAAAAAGCATCTGATGTCCACAACTTCTAATGTACATTATTGCAAGGGGAATGACTATAGACCTTCTCTTGGTATCATACTACAAAGAATGGGAAATCGAATGGTGAAGATATTAGACATCAAGGATCACTCAGTTCATAACAGACACCTGGACAAAGTGACAATAAATGAAGTAGGTCGTTCCGATTATAATATTAATAATTCCGTTACTAATCCTGATTTTGTAGATAATTCAGAAATAAGTCCAGATAATATTGATGAAAATAATATCACAGAATCAGTTAGAAGATCGCAGAGACTGGCAAGCAAACCGCGATATCGTTATAAATACGCAAGGAGATATTCGACGTGTGGCGGATGTGGTGATTGACAATTTCTAACTCTGTATTGTTTAAATACTTACTGTTGATTGTTAATATGATTCTTATATGAATTGAAATATAATTCCGCTAAATACAAATTCCTGAATTCCGCCCTCTCTGTGTTTTGTTTGGAATCTTGTAATTCGGTCATCTCGAAATACTAACACTACGATTACAATAAATTACTACACTACATCTGCCGGTAAGGAATTCCAGGGACGGCAAACCCGCAGTGAAAACAAGTGGGACCGCACCCGGGTCCTTCCCCTCTGGTGAGCTATCCTTCTGGGATTTCCACGTGGGAGCCTATACCTACTCAATGGCAGAACACCTTTGTTTGGGTGATTCTGGTCATTTGCTATTTTGTAGGCAGTAATCAAATCCCCCTAAGCCGACGGTAGCTGAGTGTGAACAGGCCTAATTTCTTCAGCCTTTCATCATATGGTTTGTTTCGGAGACCAACCACTCCTTTTGTTGCCCGCCGTTGGACTCTTTCCAAGAGGTTGGCGTCTCTTCTAAGCAGTGCGGGTGCAATAATATTATGCACCTCAAGGTGTGGCCTGACGTATGTTTTGTACAAACTTAGAAAGAGCCCAGGAGTGAGTGCACCTAACTGTCTATGCGTGAAGTGTATGACAGCGTATGCCCTCGCTACATCCCCTGTGTAATTTACGCTTGTGTCCATTTTTTCCGTTAGAACTAGACCAAAGTCGCGTTCCGACGTTGTGCAGGACAAGCTTTCATTGCACAGGGTGCACATTTATATATATACATTAATATCCTTTCCATGTTCACATACTTTCTCTTTCTGGTATTCTGCTGCTACTATTCATCTTCTGGTCGAGGTCGAACAACCCTGTATCTAAACTGAGATGAGGATTAATTCCAAACCGTCTATCTCATAACCACTCAAATTCCATGAACGATCCAATTCTACCATTTGAAGACGCTGGCGAACATGCTGTAAATGAGTATTTATGATCTGAAATGAGGAAACAACTGGTTTTCAAACAGTTTTCAACATTTTACTGAACTTTCAATCCCTTGTAAACGTTGTACTTACCTCAATACTGGTTGGTTATCGTATGCCGACAACCACGGGATGAAAACGAAACGAAGTCGATTTTCCCGCGTAACCTGGAGGACAATTGTACAATTCAATAACTATACAGCCTAGTTCAGACAATGTGTATTTATATATATATCAAATATTTAACTGTTGAAACATTATTAACTTGTAGACAATCTACGATTTGATATTATATCATACTTGATCGTGCCTGTAAAAATGGCATGCATTTTCATGTAAATTTATATGTTTATATGAGAATATACATTATTATTATTATAACTTACGAGTACAGTCCGCCATGCAGACACAAATGTCGCAAATGGCGATTTCTGGAATCGACCTCGGCACCATTTGATGCATTTAAACATTCCAGCATGACCTTATCTAGTTTTCGCAACCACGATCAAATTTCTTTCCTGTTATAAAACTACGATAAGACTGCTGAAAAATGGAATAAATATATCACTGATGTCAATATAATACATCAGTGAGCTTTAAGCCAAGGGTGCTGTTCACAACAAAGTTATATAGGAGAATTGACTTCAAGCTTTTATTCCCAGATATCTGTATTACATTCATCTGATGTCTGGGTTTTTTGTTAATGCGAAGACAATATTTCTATATCTCTTTATGTGTTACACAAACAGACTTTATAGCAGACCCTTCCGACTGACTCTAATATCAGAAGGAACAACCAAACTGTAAATTCATCATACGTAAAATTATGTGTAATTTATATAATAACTTATGCATGCCTGTACAATTGGTATGTTCCTGCATGAACAGGAATAAATATATTATTATTATCATTGGTTTCCTACACAGGAACTTCTACAGAAGTGAATCAAGAATACTACTGTACAAGGTTTGTGTGCGCCCACTCCTAGATTACTACTCATTCATACTTAGTAGTACACGCATTGAAGACAAGCTGAAAGTAGAAGGAGTACACAGGTACTTAACGCTAAAAGTAGTCGGAACCGAAAACGGCACTCCATCAAGTGTGAAATTTTAGGACTAGAAAAACTATGGTTAAGACGACTGCAACTAAATTCGGTACTCTTCTATAAGCTTCCTAATCACATAGTGTATACCCCCACCAATGGTACTCAGTTTTCAGACGACACTGGACGTAATCTTAGACACATTAAGGGTATATTGGCTATATATATACTATTCCCCTGAGTTTCAAGTGAAACATAGGGCTTCAACAACACATCTCGCTTCGTTCTATCTTTTACCGTCCTCTTCAGCTTGAATCACGATCGCCCACAATCTCTCATCTCTTTCTCCCCAAATGACCTCTGTCGAAGGCTTTTTCGAAGTCGATGAAGTTGAGGCAGAGGTTTGACTGGCATTCTATGCCTTGTTCTGTGATGACAACGCGTAGAGCTTCTACTTGATCAGTGCATGATTCACCTTTCCTGAATTTAGCCTGTTCCATACTGGGGGACTTCTGCATCTCGCGCATCCTTCATTCTCTCCAGGATGATGAGGCCTAATATTTTGCTTGTCATGGACAAGAGTATGGTTCTACGTCAATTTCTGCACAGTCCTAAGTCGCTCTTCTTTGGCAGCTTTACGAGGTAGCCTTTCCCCCAATCGGTAGGTACGTCTCCTTCTTTCCAAGACCTTTTGCAGTAATGGCGTGAGCACGTCTGCCTTAGTCTCTGGGTCCATCTTCAGTGCCTTCAGGGGGGAGATTCCGTCTGGTCCTTCCGCCTTTCCAACTGGACTTAATTAGCTTGATCGCATTCAGTATTTCTTGTTTCATTGGAGGAGTGGTGTCCACTGGCAGTTGTGCGTGTGGTTGGTGGTATTTCTGGGCGAGTTGTAGATGATGG